CCAGCCCCGGGGTGCAGCAGCTGTGCTGGCACCTGAGCATCTGCAGCAATCCAGAGTGCTGCTCCCCAACGCAGTCCCACTGCTGGATGTCCTCCAGCAGGGAAACACCGTGAAAACCTGCCTACAAACAGGGCTGCATCTCAAGGCTCGCTGCTTCGGTTTTTTCCTTCTAAATAAACTGCTTTAAATACCTACTTCAGAGAACCTGGACAGAGTGGTGTAGCTTTCCTCTCACTATCTAAATAAGGCCTCTAACAATGTTATCACTTTCCAAAACACATCTGTCCCGCAGCTCCTAGCCCAGACAATTGGCAGGTAACCAGTTAATAAATGTCTTCGCCAGACTGTTGAATAGGCTGGCCCCGACTCAAGAGTGATGTCAGGGCCATTCAATGCACTATAATTGGAAAAAGCTGGGAAAAGCAATCCCATGTTTTTTAATAAATAAGGAGTGTATTAGCAGCCTCCTGCCTTTATTCACCACGGTGTGTACCTTGTTCAGTAGCAAAGTGGGATTTTATAATTTTTTTTCTGCTGCTGCTCGCACGGTGATTTCTACTTGGGATTTGGTGCCAGTTTCCAGATGTGTCTCAGGCCAGGAAGTCAGCAATCAGCCTGGATAAAGCCTCTGGGATTTGCTGCAGATCATCTTTTGACACACACATCCTTCCTGCACCCTCTCTTATGATATTGGGGCACACCCCTTGTGCCCAAAAATAAAATAAAACAACCCAGAGCCAAGCAGAAGCCCCTGATTAGGATGCTTTGATCACTTTCATATTCAATCTCTGGGAATATTTTTAATTAATTCAGCCCATCGAAGCCCCAGAGGCAGAATTTGAGGCATCTTTACAACACCAGAGTGTCTATATACATAAATCACTTCAACAATTGCAGGTTCCCTGTCTGCTGGAGCAGCTCCAGGCAAAACTCATCTCCCACAAATCCTCACCAGTGGTACCCACAGGACAGCATCAGCTCCCCAGCTTGGCCATAGAACATTGGAGGGGGATGAATCCTCCAAAGCACTTGTCCTCAGAGGAATACATGAAGATGATAAATGAGTTTTCTGGGCTCTGAGTGAGCAGCTTAGGGAAGCTGAAACCCAAGCGGGTGACATGAAGGATGTGGTTTGCATGGAAAATAATCCCAAGCAGAAGCACCCTGACAGCAATATGCCTTTCAAACCTCCCTCCATCCCTGAGAAAGGAAGTACCCAGATTTCCCAGCCTGAGGAGAGGGGTTTAGCCCCACACAGCCAAGCTCCACGCTCACCCCAGCCACGTGGTACCATCGACTGCAGGACCGGGGAATCCCAGCCCAAGGGGACACAATTACAGAATTACTAACAAGATAATTTATTTCTCACCCCCACCAGGCATTTAAGAGGCTCTTGTTGGGCCTCTTGCGATTCCTTTCATCTCCCCATCAAAGCACAACCAAATTAACACCAGCCCTCCTCCCAGTGGTGGCCCCCCCGAGCTCCCAGAGCTGCTCTGCTTTCACAGGGCACCTGGGAGCCACTGCCAAAACAGGAAAGCAGGCGCCTAATTGAAAGGGAGTATTTGGGAGTCACCCTACACAAAAATTAGCAGAGATATGCTAGGAAAATAAAATAGTGGGCATTAACAGACGGCTTATCTTCTTTTTTTCCGTGACTCTAATGTTCAGGATGTGAAAAGGCCAAAAAAGTTTCACATACTGTTCTGAGAAACTGGTCAGGGAGAGGAGCATCCTCTCCTCTACTTTCACTGCTCCTCCCAAAATTACTCAGGTTGATGTTGAGGAATGGACCTCCATCATTAAAATACAGACATACACAAGCCAAAACAACCCTGCATTGCTGCTATGAAAATTTGCAGCTAGTGCTGGGTCTTGGTGATGGGCTGAGAAGTCGAGCAATGGCTGATTTCAATTGACCTGTGTTAGGTTTACTAAAAACACTCACCTGTGCTAGGGAGAAAGGGAATAGGGATGTCTCCTGTCTGGAGGAAGGAGCACAGGGGTCTCTGTTCCTGGAGGAGGGACTGAGCTGGAAGCTGGGTGGCCAGAGGCAGCTCAGGGAGGCTGGTTCTCACACAGAACAGGGAGCCCCTCTCCTCCCTACCCACCCTTGGCGGAGATCCCAGCCTGGGACTGTGACCAAGCCCCAGGGGAAGTGCCAGCTGAAGCCAAGGGAGGATTTAGGATTAGCTCCAAAAAATCAGCCAGTCCCACCCCACCCTGCAGGCAGCCTGTGGAAAGGAGCAAAAGCCCTGGGGGCCAGGCAGAGGGACAGGGCAGGCTGGCAGGCCCAGAGGGGTCAGCAGAGTCTGGACAAGTGACCCAGAGCACTCCCTGCCTGCACTCAGCTCCTCCAGCCCCAGCTCCTGGCTGCAGGAGCCCAGCTGGCTCTTGGAGCAGGAGCAAGCCACAGCAAGAGAGAGGAAAAAAAAATGAGAAAGAGCAGCAGGAAGCCGTGCTGAGAAGCCCCCTTTTGTGTAAACACGCTCCGTCCTCAGACTAAAAATAAAGGCAAACCACAGGAAGGGAGTGAGTGCTTGGACAATATCCGATTTGGTGTGTGCCTGGGTGTGAGCTGCGGGAATGGGGAGAAGAGCAGGGGACTCCACCCAGCCCAGCCACACAAAGGCAGCCAGTTAAGACCTTCAAGATGGACAGGCATTCCTGGAGATTATTTAAATTCAAGCAACTGCTGCTTGGCAGATGTGCAGTCCCTTCCTGTGTGCGCAGCACTTGGAGATGTTAAGTGCGGGAAAAAGCTGCCATGGCAGAAAAGGCAGGATGGCTGCACAAGGCCCATTCTACAGGGTCAGACACTGAGACCCAAGGCTGTGAACTGAAGCCCCATAAACCTGCCATAAAACGAGGACATGACCCAGACAAGCTGTCAGCTACAATGCAGCTCACAGCTCCAGCCTCAAAAACCACCTCTCCCTGCATGCTGCCTTTGCATCTCAGCTCCGCTGCAGCCACAGAACCAAACTGAAAGCAGCAGCACGCTCCTGAGGGCTGATCAGTGGAGAGCCCACCCCAAAGGGGTCTCAAATGCTTCCCCTGGTGCTGGGCTTTGGTGCAGTGCCCCCTGCCATTGTCATCAGCTGGCTCTGGAGGCTGGGGCTGCAGCACCACCTGCGTGTCCCACCTGCAGGCTCCTCGCAGGAGGGATGCTTTGCTGGTGGGTGCGATCCCAAGAGACAGGCATCCATCCATCCATCCATCCATCCATCCATCCATCCATCCATCCATCCATGCTGCACAGAAAGCAGCCAGCGCAGCGTGAGGAGGCTCCTGGGAGCCCAGCGCTCACCCTCGGTGCTGACACACCACTCAGAGGCTTTCTGGGGAAATGCAGCGCTTGGGAGGATCCCGTGCCAGGCTGGAGGGAGCAGCACTGCCACAGGGTGTGCGGAGGCACCGCAGCTGTGCCTGCCGGCTGTGCCGCTGTCCCACCCCAGGGCAGCTGCTCCGGGGGCACCATCAGCCCAATTCCCTCCAGGCACTGGGAGCCCTCCTGTCTTTAGTCAGCCTTGGCTGAACTGCAGCATCTGCGATGCTCAGCTGCCTCATCTCCCTTCCTGTCGCTATTTTCTGTCAGAAGAAAATGACTGTGCTCGGCAGTGGAGGAAATCAAAGACAACTGTGGTGGCCTCCACTTGGGCATGTTTGCTGCTGACGTTTGTGTTCCTTTAATTCCTGCCTCCTGGTCCTGTGTTCACTTTCCTGCTATCTGGTCTCACCTCCAGTATTCATTTTTCTCTACTATTAGAAAAGTCTACGAGGAGCACAACAAAAATCCAACACACGCCCCCCAGCCCCGTTTCCTCTAGAAAACAACTTCCTATGGAGCACAGCTGTTTGGAGCAGGTCACTTGCTTTCCCTGCAAAACAGCAACACAACTGCCCCTGCTTCATTCTCATTTACAAGTATTGCTAAAACTTTCACAGGATCTCATTTGGGGCATTTCCCACATGCTAAATATAAAGTGTAAATGCCTTTCCATGAGGCTCTGTCTGGCAGGGGAGCAGCTGTTTCTGTCCCTGCCCACCACAGCAGCAGCACAAAATAAAACAGCAGCATGAATGACACTTGTGCCATCGGTGCTATGAGTGCCCACATGACACCTCCTGCCACCCAGCCCAGCTGCTGAATCACAGCTGTCAATGAAAACTGAACATCTTTCCTTAAACTCACTTTAGTAGGTCACTTGCCACTCCCCAAGGTGCTGCTGGACGCAGAGGAAGCCAAGAAAAAGGTGACACCTTCTGTTTACTCAGCTAATTGCACTTCACTATCGCTCTGAAACGTGTTAGCAAGCAGAGAGAAGAAAGGGAACAGGACTTGGTGTGAGCAGGGCTGCAGGTGGGAGCCCTGAACCTCCCCCTTGCCTGAGCTGGAGCTGTCACTGCAGGCTGAACTCGCTCTGGGAAAAGTTATGGGGAAATTCCCACTCATGGGTCCTTGAACTGCCACTCATGGGGCCTGGAAACCCCAGCAGCCACCTGCCCTCACCCAGCTCCCTGCTCAGAGCCCCAGCACAGCCCTGGCCAGCACACCCAGCAGAGTGCACAGCACAGCACAAACAGGGTCTGAGGGACCTCAGAGGTGTCCACACAAGATCCCCATAGCTCAAATTCACAATCCTCATTTTCACAGGCACAGTGCTGAGTCAGGCAGCAGAAGGCTATGAAGAACACTGCAGACACAGATGCTCTCTGTTGTTAGAAAACCTCCAAACGAAACATAGCAGGAGCACAAATTGAGAGTTTAGTCCCCAGGGTTAAACACCTAAATTAATAAGGCATCTTCAGTCATGCTCTGCAAACACTCCTTGCAAAATAATGGGTTGTTTCTAATAGATCAGTACCAAAGGACAGGAGACACATCTGGAAGCTCTGAACTCTACCACTGTCCAAGTGTCACTGCAAAAACACAGCTAAGGAGAAAACCCCAGGGACTAATGCCTGCTGACCCCAATGCAATGAACCCCCAGTTTTACCTGGATCAAGATGTGTAAAGGACCCAATGACAAAGTCCAGTGTTGAGACAGCCAGCAGGAAGAGCAGCAGGAGCTGGAGCCTGATGATCCACTTCACCCCAGCCAAATTGATGCCCAGCAGGCCGAGCAGGACAGCCAGGGAGATGCCACGCACTGCCCAGATGTTGCTGAGGCTCAGGACACCTGCAATGGACTCTGCAAAGCCAGTGATGTACATGGCACCTGCAACACACTGAGGGACACAGCTCTGTCAGTGCCCCACGGGAGAAAAGGGACCCCATCCACTGCCCCATGCCGGGCTGGGGGGCTCTGTTCAGACAGACAGAACGACACTGGCTGTCACAGTACAACCTTGGATGTTACTGCCACGGCAGCAGAGCTGGGCAGACAGGGAAGGCTGGGTGCTAGGACCAGCAGCCCAGATGTTCCACTGTCACATCTACCCTCTATCAACACTCCAGGAGAAACTACACTGGCTTCTCTGAGAGAGAAAAGGATGAGCCAGCTTCTGTTTCTTCCCCCTCTTCTGCTTCTCTGGAGGAAAGGGTCCCAGTTGAACACCTGCCTGAAGAGCAGCTGTTTGTCTCCCCCTTCACTGCCTCCTGGGGGTTATTTTTAACTCAGTGTTTAATTTGGATGCAAACTCTGATGTTTCACCAGCTCCCCATCTCGCTGCTGGAATGGAGCCTGCCCTTTGGAGGAGAGCACACTGTGTGAGCCATGTCCCAGGAAAGCTGCCTGTTTGCCTTGCAGCAGGACAGGACACACACTCTGCCCCGGGTGGCTGAGAGCCTGCAGGACAGGACATCTGCAGCACAGGCTCAAACACCACTGCAGCACAGCAACCCAAAACACCAGGAGGTTTCACTCCAGAAATTCCCACCAGCTGACATTCCAGCAACAGCCCTTCCAGTGCATGGCATCCCTGGAAAACCAGGTCAGGGCAGACAGCTGCATTTGATATGGCTGCTGTGGCCTTGGCTCCTGCACCCCACCACCCCTGTGCACAGCTGAGGGATGTGGAAGGGACAAAGGACAGCAAGAGCAGAGCCCCCATTCACTGCAGATCCCCCACCTGGGACAGACCCAGCACTGCCCGCTGAGGGGGAGCAGGACAGCCTGGCCCATGCCCAGGAGCTGCAGGGTTGGTGAGGTTTTCAGCAAGGCTGATGGCATAAAGATGTTCAGAGTTGGGCATCAACAACTTGGAGATGCTGGGGGATTCCCTTCCATCACAGGCAGACAGATCAGGGGAGCTGCATCCTGAGAGTCCTCCTCTGCAGCACATGGCCAGGCATTCCCCACTCACCCCAGTGAGAGCAGGGAACAGGGACTGCCCCATTTCTGGCAGCAGCTGCCCTATGGCAGAGGTTACAGCACTCCCTGAGCATCCTGAGCAGAGGATCAGCCTGCAGCTGGTGCAGGGCACGTTGGGCAGAAAGCACAGCTGAGAGAGGAAAGGCATCAGCAGCTTTTGGGAGCAGGCAAAGTGATTTTAAGTGAGCTGCCAGCTCCCAGCCCCTGTGCAGCCCCTGTGCACACAGGATGCCAAGGCAGGGGCCAGGGCTGCTGCAGCCCAGCTTTTACAACCCTCAGGACAGGCTGCAACCTGATTGCTTTCCCAGATGGGGTCCTCTCAGAGAGCAAGAGTGGAAAATCTGACAGGAAGGATTCTCATGTGTGGCCCATTTCCATATCTTGGCTTGTAACTGGGTTCAGTTCGTGTTTTATGGACACTTGCTTTTAATCTGGAGTGAAAGGAGAAGAGGGGATTATTTTTGGTTTGGGGGCTGTTCAGGGGTTTTGGAGATTGCTGTAAGCCAGTCAGTTAAAAACAAACCTCCATAAAAATGCTTCTCTGCTCACCACATTTTATACTGTTCATAACATCTTTATGGGGGGAGAGGGTTAAGTTACTGCAGGTTTAAGTGATTATTTTCCATTCTTTTTGTAGACTACTTGTGTATTTTTGTGCCTCACCACCCTAACAGCTCCTTGGGATGGTTCAGAAAACCCAGAACTGTGACTCTTGGCTCACAAGACTCAATTAGCTGTGGCCCTTACCCCTGCCCAGCTCTCATCCCACACCAGCTCCACTTCTGCTGGCTCCCACAGAGAAGCAGCCATGGCTTGCCTGATCCCTGAGGGTACATGGAGCATGCCAAGGCCAACCTGCCCATCCACAGCCTCTCACTGAGCTCTGCTTGGCCACCCTGACCTCTCCTGCTGCGTTTGATTTGTCTCCCTCCAGCAAGGGCATGTCCTGGCAATGGGGCAATTTGGGAAGGGAGGACATGTCCTGCAGGGCTTGTCCAGACACTCAGCTCCTCCACCAGGGTGCCCAGTGCCAGGCAGCACATTGCCATGCTCAGGCTTGCTCCTGGGGAGCAGCGTGGGCTCAGTGCTCCCTGTGGTGCTCTCCCATGTTGCATTACCCAGATTTTACTTGAAACATTACTTTCTGCAGCAGGACAGCACAAGACTAATGCCTGCATTGCAAAGTTTCCAAATTTTCTTTGAGCAACTTTTTAAAATTACCTGGCCAAAAATGTAAAGGAGGCCAATGGTGCCCCCTACTTGACCTCCAAGGACAGTAGAGATCATGGAGTAGACTCCTCCACTTCCAATGCTGCACTTCTCACACACCCCAATTCCAGACAAGACTGTCACCAGGGCAACCAGAATGACAAAGGACACCAGAAACATGCCCATTACAATGCCAGTGTTTCCCTGGAATGAAAAAAAAAATATAAAATAAAGATTAATTCACACCAATCTGCTGCAACAGAATAAGAACTTACCCACTTCTAGTCACTAGTGATCTATGGATATGGATTCATTACAGATTAAAAAAACACACACAGACACCTCTACATGTCTAATTAACGTAATTGATTGCCAAATTTAGAGCCTTTATTAGCACCCCTTTGATGAGAACCTGTCTTGTCCTGGAGCCTGGGGCTGGGCAGACCTTTGCATGAGCAGGTTCTGCCCTGTCAATGGGCTCCTCCATGAATCACTGGTTTTGTCCACTGGTTTAAAAGGAATGAGGTCAAACAGTGATTCAACCACCATAGTCAGGGGATCACTGCCTGTCTGCATGGTTTAGAATGACATGCTTAAAAAAAAACCCAAAACACTTTCATAACAAAAAGCAGTTCCAAAATTGAACCCCTGGGATTTGCAGTGACTGATTTATTAACAGCATCAAGCTTGCATTTTAATTTTTCAGAACATTTACCTTTGAAAGCTCTGATCCCTGCAAACAATGAGATGCCAAAGAACAAACCCCAAAGGCAAGGCAGCGTGGAAGATAAATAATGCTCTCACAAAGCAGCGTGCACCAGCCCTTATCTGCAGGGTGTGCTCAGAGGGCAGGTGGCTCTCGCCCTGCCTGGGCTCTGGAGACTTTTCTGCACAGGATTCAGCCCCATGATAAAAAACCAACCCTTCCTGCTTGGGGCAGAGGGAGGGCTCCAGGAGGAGCTGCTGTGCCTGCCACTGTGTGGCAAAGAGGAGAAGTCTCTGAACAAACACAGCTGCAGGTCCCCGTTGGGAAATTTAAACACCAGCACAACCCCTTTCTTTGGAAGGGTTCAGTTTGCCATTTAGGGTCAGATTTTCAGAAAGAAAAGGTGCTTGGTACCTCCAAAAGAATTTAAGAACTCTTCTGAGCTCAGGGCCTTCCCACTCACTTGCACGTGGCTGTAATTTATTTTCCAGGGTCAGGAGTTCTCCCCTGTGCTCCAGCCCACCTTCCCCTGCTGACAAATCGCTCAGGCCAGAGCACAGCAACCAGAAGGCTCCTCCAGTGCCCAGTGCTTTGTTAACATCTGGCTTCCCTTCCTTTTACTCCTATTCCAGGCCATGTCCATATCCCCTCTTTCCAGCCTTGCTCCAGCAATGCTCATCTCTGAGGTCACACTAGCCATGATGGAGTCTTTATCACCATTGCTTCCCTGCTCTGGGGTTGGTTGAAATCCCAGATTCTTTTTTTTTCCTTTTCTCTTTTTTTTTTTTTTTTTTTTGTGAAAAAAACAGAAACATATCCAGGATGTTGGTATCATCATAAAATCCTATTTTGGTTCAGCATCCTGCTGCCTTTGACAGGGCTGTTATCTGGTCAGTGGGGAACAGAGCCAAGGACTGTTATAAACACAGCTGTGGTTGGGTCAGCACCACAGCCCACCCAAACCCCATACTCCTTTTTAAAAGGACAATTGTTCTTTTTCTTCAGCTGCTTACCCCAGGTTAAATGGTTAATAAACATGATATGCTTCAGTTAAAAACATAGATAAAAAAAAAAAAAAGAGCAAACATATGCAAGCATTCATTTAGCCCTGAGCTTTTCCAGAAAGGTGGTACCAGGCTATGGCAGCTGTTAATGGGCAATCCAATGGTTCCTACAGAATAAAGGGTTAACACTAAGACTGAGGGGGAATGCTGGGCTCACAGCAACAATAGCAAGCAGAGAAAGTGGGAAGAAAAAGCCCCCATTAAGCACTGATGCTTATTTATGCATGCATGCTGGAAGGGGTTAGTGCAGCAGCAATCCCTGTTGAACATTTCAGCAAGATTAGGTCCCCTGGAACTGCAAAGCTTCACCAGCCCCAGCTCCAGCTCTGGAAATTTATAGCAAAAGCCTGACTCTGGGAATAGCTTGACATATGACTGTCCTCTGCCAGGGGAGCTCTCTGCCAACCCTGACTTCTCCTCCCTTCCCTTTCATGCTAGCTTCCAGCTGGTTCTGTTTTTCTTTCATTTACTGGCTTTGTTTATATTTGTGTTTGCTCCAGAAGTAACTTGCTTTCAAAGGAGATGTGGAGGAAATAAAATCATAAGGAAAAGGAAGCTAAAAAATCATCCCAACTTCTCCACCACAGCAACTGCAGCTCCCCTCAACACCTCCAGCAAAGCAATTTTCAGTGCAGAGTGCAAGTGTCTTCCTGCTCCTTTTGGAAGGTGTCCACCATGCCTGTGACAAAATCTCTGCCTGAAGCTCAAATCCCATCCATCTCTGGGGAAACTTTTCTTTTTCTAAGGGGAGATTTTGAGGCATAATACAGTATTTTGCATCAGGAGGGGACAGTATTCCAGGCTCTGACCCTCAGAGATACTATTAAGGACCCAACAGTGGAAGATCCTTTGATAGCAATGACAATTTCACCTGACTGAGGATTCCCCATTCAAAAAATCAGGAACTCCAACACTGGCATGTTTGGAAGAGACCTCCTTCAGTGGTGCTGGGAGGATGGGTGAGTGGCTGTAACTACTTTACCTGGAAAAGTGTTAATTTCTCCTCAACAATACGACACAGGGGTGTCCCTGTTCATTGTCAAGGTTGGCTGCTGTGTTTTCCTTTCTCTTTCTGAAAGCTAAGGTAGGAAACCACTTACAAAGATCACTTCAGCTGCACATTTTAGTGGAACTTTTTGAAAAGCTATAAAATACCAGAGGGCATAAGCAACATCTATAACAAAGAGCATAGAATCCAAAACGCTTGGGTGGTGATGGAGATACAAGGTAAGGGAGGGCAGAGGAAAATATCTTTTCAAACATTCAACCAAGACAGCACTTGCTCACCACAAGCCATCCCGTCCTCAGGAAAAGAACCACTCCAAAAATGTTGATCATGCAGGAGGTGAAGACCCCATCCCACGTTCCAAAAAGCACTGGCTCCCATACAAAGAGCTGGATCTTCCACCAGGGCTTGGTCTGTGTTTGAGATACCTAGAGAAAAGCAAAGCCTGGGTTTACCTCTCATGTTTTATGGGCCACAGCCAGCCACCAACAGGGGGATGGCCACCAACAGCTGCTGAGACACTCCTTTGCTGCAAGCTGTCCCTAAGATGAAGGGCTGTCAGGCTGTTGGGGTGCCTGGGCCCTGAAAGAGATGGCTCCTACAACACCCTGTTTGTATTCCTGTAGGATAATCAGCAAGAGAGCCCTGCTGAGCCTCAGTGAATTAACCCCAATGCATCAACCAAAAATACCATTCAAGGGTCCTTCCCAGAGCCTGCAGCTACACACTGTGCTTCTCCTGACCCTTCCAAACACTCCACCAAGGCAAGCAGGGCTCTCAGTGCATGGGAGAACTCCCTTGGAGGACATGACAAACCAGCTGGGAGCAACAGAGTAGGTTAAGATGGTTTCCCCATCACAGCCATATCTGATCAGGACCCTTTGCTTCTCAAGGAGACATGGGGCTCTGGATCTTGGGGCACAGTGATTTTCCAGAGCTGCTGGAACCAAGATCTGAAGCTCCAGGGAAACTGCAGTTTTCCTATGGAACTGCTTCCTCTTGCCCTCTGGAAATCAAGTCTCTTCTTTCCCTTTCTGAGTCATACACCTCAGACATACACAGCAAAACAAAGGGCCAGTTTTGTTACTTCACTCCTGTTCCCTTGCCACAGAGGTGACCAGGAGTGGAGAGGCCATGGAGATGGAAATTTGGGAAAGGAGATGGCTCTGTGACATACCTGCTGTGCTTCCTCATGGAAGAGCTCCTGGACGTATCCCTCACTGCGGGCACCACTGCAGCTGAACATCTTCTGCTGGGCTCTGCTGCCCAAAGCTCAGCTCTAACACAGCCACAGGCCAAGCTGCTCTGAGTGGGAGCTCAGCTCAGTCCAATTCCTGCAGGGCTGGCTCCTCTGTTGTAGAAGATTCATGGTTTTATCCCAGCCTCACTGTGAAAGCAGGAAAGATGAAAGACACAACTGCTGCTTTCTTAGTCTGCCAAAGCACAAGGCCATTGTCCACACAGTCAACAAACAGCAGCTGGTAGCAGATGCTGAACCAGAGGGACACCACAAACAGCAAAGAGCAAGGCTCCTCCAGCACGGGCTCCACCATCAGCCACACATTTAACAGCCCTTGGTACCCCTTTCCAAACCTAACCCCAGCATCCTGTAGCACTGGCTCCACAGCTCCACAGTGTTGTCTGCAAAATGCATTTCCTCTCCTTGGTTTTAAATCTGGTGCCTGGTAATGTCATTGCATGCTCCTGTGCTCCAGTGACATAGGACACATGGATTATTCACTTCCCAGCACCACTCATCACTTCACTGCCTTGACCACGTCTGCCTCAGCTGTGCCTTTTGCACACCAAGGTCCTGCCTTGTATTCAGTGTATGCAGTTACCCACAGTCTCCCACACCAGGTGTCAAGAGAGACTTTTTGGCTATTCCTCAGTGCAGTACACCATGCCTAGGTAAGACAAAGAGGGCTGCAGCCAGAGAGGAGCAAGACTTGTTCCTCAGATGTGGAGAGGGCAGCTTGTCTGGATCACTGGCTCTCCTGGGGCAGGTAATTTGCTGGCCAGCTCAGCCCTCATGCTTACAAGAACCAACCATGATCACACAAGGCTTGTACCAAGGGCTGGACACCTTACCTGAGACCAGAGACCAAATTAATCACAGGGCAGGAACCCAACAGAAATGTGCTCTGCCTATTGCACAGAGACATACAGAAACTGCTTTGTGTCACTCAGGATTTCTGCACCAGGGTCTGAATGCCTTTCACCATCCTGCCCTTATTACTCTGCTTTGAAATGCCCAGTATTAAATAACCAAAGCAGATGCTGCTGCACCACAGTGATTCAGTTGCAGAAGATCTCCTGCAGCTGGGCTACAATGGCCAGCACAGGAGGTTTTTCTCTGCCCTGCCCACATAGGCAGTTAAGCAGCACCAAAGCCATGAGAGTTCATGGATGCCCTGCTGCTGCCCCCACATTTCTTGAAGCAAATAACCCTTTACAATATCACAAATGGTTGCTGTTACAGGGAAACTGGGGCTTCAAGCAGGGCAAAAGCAGCAGGAGCAGATGAACTCTAAGGAAACAAAGCTCATGGTTTGTTTTTTTTCAAATAGCCACAGTAATAAAAAATGGCAGAAAATACACAACATGAAACAAGATTACAATTGAATAGCCACATTCTAAGAATCCCCAGTGGAGTCCTTCCTTTACTCTCACTCAGTAAAGGATTCACTGGGGTCACACAACCCAGTGTGCCACAGCAGTCCCATCTAGATGAGGAGAAAAGAGGCTGCAGCTCTGCAGCCCCCTGCTCTCCTAAACCACTCCACCAAGGGAGCCAGAAGGAGATGGCTCCAACCCCTTACAGTACCTCAGGGCTGATGTGTCTGGTGTGTGACATTACATGGATAGGTGTGATGCACCCATATTACCCACCTGAAACTTGCAAAACGCTAAAGAAGGGCTGCACACATGGATTTTAGACCTGAAGCACACCTAGCAAGAAATGTTGCCTGCCTGGACATTTAAATCCCCTTATCTCACCATTTCCTTCCTTTTTCTCTGCTTTAAAATCCTTCTCCTGCCCTGTGCTCTAGAGCCCTTTCTGCTTCAGCTACTGCACACCTTGCTGTAAGATCTTCCTCCTCACAATCCCAGGAAATTGCCTCTGCACTACTGCTCTCTGTGGCATTTCCAACTGCCTAAAAATCTTGCTACCCAATTCTGTAATTATTTACATCCCACCACAACTCCTGGATCCATTGGTCCCTGCGAGGTAGCCAAGGCAAACAGGGGAGGGGGTGTAAAGCACAGGAGTGGGAGCTGAACAAAAGCACTCAGTCACATCCCAATCCATGGACATGCAAGTGTTTCTGCAATTCAGGGTCTGTGAGTGGAAAGTCCCTGGGGCAGGCGCCCTCCTCTTGCAGCACTCTATCAGCGCAGGGATATTTTTGGGTGCTATTTTGTATCTTGGTCACCAACCCTGAGGGAGCTTTTTCTCTATACACACCAGCAGGATAAATAAACTAAACAGACTCAATTTTCCTCTAATATAATTGAGCCTCTAACTTGAAAGTAAATTGCTGTTATTTTTCCTAAAGTTTCTGCCAAATACACTAGCCAGTCTATAAATTAAACACAAAGGTCTGTTTTAATCTTTCCATACCATTTAGCACTCAAGAGAGCAGAAGAGCATTAGCAAACCTTGCAGGAACATTACAAAGGCTCATCTCCTTTTCCTGCAACACTTCTATATTTAATTGCAAAACCAGATTGCTATAGATTAAATTTCTGTGCCCTCCATATCCTTTCAAAGCACTATTTTATCAATCATCGCATTAAAGCTGCTTCTGAGCTAAGCGTCGCTGCTCTGAGCTACTCAGCAGCTGGCTGGTTTTGAAGAGGAAAGGTTAACGCCTTCCCAAGCACAACTGCGTGTGGTCCCACGACCTCCGAAGCCAGAGGAGGTGCTCCTAAAGCCTCTCCTCCCAAGGGACACAGCAGCCAACAGCATTTTAGTTTTAATCAGTCCCTTCAACTCCTCTCCGGGTCAAGTTCTTAAAAACACCTAATTTAGGAGTCTTTTAGGAAAGCGGAATTAAAGGGAAATGAAGCAGCCATGAGCGCAGCAAAGGTAACGCCACGCAGAGCGGCGCTTGGCTATTCCCAGTTACTCATTTACTGCACCGGCCGGGACAATTACCGAGCTCGTTGTGTTTTCACATATCTCCGTAGAGCAACGAGCGCTGCGGAACACCAGACGTGGGAAACGAGCCCGGACTCTCTCCAGTAACTTCAGTTTTCCGGAGAGCTTCGGTTTGGCAGAGGCCACGGCATTGCCCACACCTGGGGCTGCGGCCGCGGCCACACCGGGCTGCCCACCCCGCCCGGGCACCGCTCCGACCTACCCGTTCCCTCTGTTTGTTTTCTCCTTTATAAAATTCTTTTTTTCAAGTTTTCCGTTTTGCCCCTCTTTTTTTTTCTTCCTTTTTGTTTCCCTGTTTTTGCTTTTTTTTTTTTTTCCTCTTCTATTTCCTTTTTTCTGGTTTTCTTTCACCTTTCGTTTTTTAACTCCCTCCCCACGCCCTTATTAGCCTTTTTTCTTTTACCTTTTTGGGGGGAGCTCTTTTCCACCATTTTCTTCGCCCCCACCACGGTTTTAATTTTTAAGCTTTCCTCCCTCCGTCCGCCCCGAGCGAGCCGCGCAGCACCGGGGGGAGCAGCGGGCAAAGCCGAGCCGAGCCCGGCGCCACCTGCGGGGCTCAGCCCGGGCCCCCATCCCGGCTCGGGGGTGTCCCCGCGGTGCCGACCCCACTCACCTGGCGGCTCCCGGACCCTCCCTCCTTCCCTCTCTCCCTCCTTCCCGCCGGCTCCCCCGGCGCCGCCTCCCGCCGGGGCCGCCCCGGGCGCTGCCACGTCTGCCCGGGCACCGCGCCCGCCCCGCACCGGCACCGGCACCTGCCCGGGCCGGACCGGAGCCAGCCGTGCCCGGGACACGCCGGCTCCGAGCGTGGGGAACGGAAATCAGCAGGGGTCAGGAGCTGATTGCCACTCAAGCTGCAGTTTTCTGGAGTCTGACAAAATAAGTGAATAAATAAGCAAAGTCACTGCTTGAGGAAATGATGGCCACGGGGAAAGGGGGGTCTGGTTCCACACAGGAGAGGCTGCAGCGATGTTTCAATAGGAGCTTGATCCAGTCGAACTTCCCAGTCCTAGACTGCCGAGAAATTCTGTGACCCTGCACGGGCAAAGCTCCACCTGAATTAAAGGCGGGAATTTTGGACAGTCTCAATATAAAGAGGATTGTATCTAGAGCCAGCCACCCTTCCTTAGAGCTCGTGTAGCACACTTTGATTTAATTTACTTCCAAAATGGGTTAGAGCCATTTTAATTTTCAAAAAGGATCCATACAAGACATTCATGTAATCCAGTGAATCTGTTTTGATTTTCTTGCAGAGCCAAAGTGATAACAAACTTCTACTCTTGAATAAAGCCACAAATTTCTGTGAGTGGCAGAAAAGGAAAGCAAGAGTTCAGAGAAGACAGATGACTTCTCAAAGGAGGATGAAGCCTGAGGAAAGCACAGAATGTCTAGGGTTCAAAGAGACTTTAAAGATCACCTGATTCCAGCTGCACTGCTTTGGGCAGACACTTGTCACCAGGTTGCTCAAAGCCCCGTCCAACCTGACCTTGAACACTTCCAGGGATGGGGCATCCACACAGCTTCACTGGCCAACCTGTCCCAGTGCCTCACCACCCTCACAGTAAAGAATTTCTTCCCAATATCAAACCTAAACCTGCTCTCTTTCCATTTGAAGCCATTCCCCTTTGCCCTGTCACTACATGCTCTTGCAGTGCTCCCTTTAAGCTCCCTTCAGGTGCTGGAAGGCTGCAATTAGGTCACCCCTGTCTTTTCCAAGCTCAATGATCCCAATTCTATCAATAGCTCCCTGGATATCCCATTCCTGGAATATTTGGAAGCTCTTCTCCACTCCCTTCTTTTTATATTCCACAACTACCAGGGAACAGGTTCAGCCAGATCCTCCCATCATGTGGGCCAGGGAAAAATCTGAAATAAGTACCTTGAATTTGTTGCAGTACTTGAGAAGAGTCACTAATTCCCTGAGGACCAAGCCCTGTAGCCTGCCCACAGACACTTCTGTGCTCTTCCACACACATGTGCACACCTGGCAAGTGCTGAAGATGTTTCTTGAGCCAGCTGCTACTGGCACTTGCCACTGCTGAACACTCCTTTGGGAAATCCTGCCTCTGCACTGGGAAGAACCA